ATGATAAAAAATTGAAGATGAAGAAACGTGAATCGGTTAAATCTCGAACCGTTTTAATAATTCTGTACCAGCCTTGCGGGCGAGTTGATCGTAACGGCCGAGCAAACGCAACGTGACCATTGTTCCGAGAGTTGGCGTGCACTAGGGACGACGTGGGCATTCCGTCGACAATCGACGGATCCATGTCGAGAATCATGCGTAAATCCTCGTCGATACCGATATGTACGCGCACTCGTTGTTCTTGTTCTTGTTGTTCTTGACGTTCAATTTCTTCCTTCTGCCGATGTTCCGATGAAACAGATGAACAGTTAATCGTACGAATGGCGGACTTGACGGCGGTTCCGATGTGCGAACACGTGCACGAGCAATTTGAATCTTGAACGTAATGTCGCGACAAAGGAACAGAATTTGATTCCTGTTTGTTCAAAAACGGTAATGATACCGATACCGATGCCGATGCCGACGTCGACGCAGANNCGACGCCGGCACAGGCACCGTATCCGATTTCGATCCCAATTCCGGGGCTATAGAACGTGAAACTGGTAATGATCCACCAATATTTCCCCAATTCGACAACGTCTTTGTCGTTGTTGTTTTCGTTAACGTAGTCGTTATCGTTGTCGTTCTTGCTGCAGATATCGTTGTAATTATCGTTCCGATTTTATTCTCGATAACAGCACCACCGATATTGTTCAACGGTCGCCCAACGTCGTTTATTCGATTCAATCGCGACACTAAATCCTCGAATTCGACGATTTGCCGCACTGTATCGGATATCTCTTGCATGTCCTCCGAAGGAGGTGAAAAAGCTTTACGGCCGAACCAGCCCAGAAGTCGTGGCACTACTAAACCAGATGTCGCATCTTTTTGTTGTCACGGACATTGTCGACGACGAGAGCTGTCAGCTACGAAAAACCGACGCTCCTTGCTCTAAACCTGGATCCGTTATTCTTCTCTCTTTTCCACCCTTTCTATTTCTCTCACGCGCCATTTTCGCGCATTCGCGTATCCGCGCCAAATCTCGTTCGTCACTTAACCACCAATTATCAAATAGACGTCAACACTCGAGAATCGGCAAGATTTTTAGAAATAAAAACATGGCAATTGATTAGCTCGTTATTTTCTTCATTTTTTTTTTTTTTTTATAATTTTCGAAATTTTGTTAGCAAATTGATTTGAAAAAGATCTCATTTGGTTAAAGAAACACATATCCTTCTCAATATTGACATACGTAAGTAAATACATACATCCACGTGACACGTCAAACAATTTGCGACATAAGAAAAATTATTTACGAAACAACATTAGAATAGACATAACTTTTGTGTAATGCCAAAGAATGTGGATTATTTCGGAAATATTACGATTTTTCTTTCGAGATCGAAATTAAGATCGAAGAAAGTGCAAGTGGAATGATGGTGGATAGAACCGAGACCGAATCAAGCCGAACGTGAACCGAGATAAATCGATGTATAACGAAATTAGCCGAAACAAGCCGAAGCAAGCTAAGAGCGCACGTATGACGGAAGAGAGTGAAGACTGCACATCGTAATCTAAAGAAATTACAAGCGGTTAATCGATATCGAGATACGAATTTATTAAAATTATTCGGACTATTTTAACATCGATTTCATTTATTTATCGCGATATATAGATTTTAAACGTACAACGATACAACGTACCTGTCAATATTCGGGGCTCGGCTCTTTAATTCATAATACATGATGTCTTGTAGCGGTGTCGACAAAAAGGATAAAGCCTGTTCCCAATCATCATTGTGGTTATTCCTATCTTCGTTTTCTAGTTTATTACCACAACACGATTCATCGATACCAGTTATTCCATTTTGTTTGTCCTGACATCGACGATTGCACAAATTCGCTTCGCGATGTTCCAAATCAGCGGTAATAGCTGCCAGATCGAAACCCATGTCGATTCCAGATTCCTCCATTCTCGTATATATACTATTTTACTATTTATTAAAGATAATAAAAGAAAAATGCAACGCGACGCGACGCGACGCGGCGCGAATTGTAGCGTCGCGACGCCACTTGTCGCGAATAAACTATGATTCTTGATATTTTTCTCGGCGAAACGATCGCGATTACAAGACAACGATGTGTTCTCGAGTTTTGCTTTCTAGTGTGGCGCCTCCCCACTGGTAGAAGCTAGGACGCGCGTGTCGAGCGATAATCGGAGCGAGAGACGGGAGAGACGAGCCTCGCGAGAACTTGTACGAAAACTGTTAACCGATTGGTGATGAGCGGGGGATGCGTTTGTTACTCTCGACGCTATCCGATGCTCGATGCTCGATACTTTCGATGCTCTATACTAGATCTCGGCTTAATGCCCAACCATTCAACGAGGGGACAAGAGAGATGAGTAGATCACGAGTTTCTCACTAACATCCGCGATCCCCCTCCTCCCCCATGTTTGTTATATGTCCATTCTTTACAACCGCATCACCAATACTAATATGTACTCCCAGCGAAAGCGAACAAACGAGAAACACTAATAAATTTGACCGATGATCCTACACGCAAGCGCACAACCACTGAAACGATTTAACGAACCGTATACAAAAAATTAATCGGATAAATTTAGAAATATCATGATGTTTATTGTAGGTTAATACGATAATGAAATGAATCGTAAGCGAGAGTTACGGTACGAGCGATTATTTATAAGAAAATGACGAGTAAATTAATAAATTAATCGTGGTCAATGTACGAGTACGCATGGCCCGATTATTTCTTTCTAAAAGAATCTACCACGATTTCTTGCAAGTACAGCCATCTCACGACAAACTCTTCAATCTTTCGTGTTGATCATTATTCGTAACTTCATCGACATTGCATTCTTGTTCTCTTTGCTTTCTACTTTTACTTAACACATTTACTCGCATTTACTGCAATCGATTTAAAACCGGAAGAATGAATGATAATTTTCTAACTTTTTTTTTTTTTTTTTTTTTTTTTTTTTTTTTTTTTTTTTTTTTTGCTTTTTTTGCTTTTTTAGAAACATAGAAAGATATAAGTTGTTTTTATTGCTTTTTGATTTTTTTATGGTGAAACGATAAACGATATCGTAATGTCAAGTGCGGAAAAAGTTATTACGCGATATTTTAAGAATATATCTATATTGTGTATATATTTGAAGTGATGCAAGTATTATAATTTATGCTTACGAAGATACAAAATTTATAAAATTGCTGACACCACCATCGTAACCACCATCGTTCGACACATCGAATGAGAACAATAGCAGGGTCTGTACCTTGTTCGTATCGAAATAATTCGAATCAGTTGATCGAATCGTCGAAGAAACAACGATTCGCGTGTCGAAATCGAATCGATTTTTAATTCGCTCGAACCTATGATGTATATTCGATTTTACGGTTTCCCAATTCTTTTTTTAGTCACATGGAGCATCGATGGTATTCAAGTGTTCGGAAAGCAAAATCGTTTTCCTCAAGAAATATCGAAAAAATTGGACGAGTATTGGAACTCATACAAGGTACATACATCTCATATACGATGTATCTATTAGATTATTCCATATATCAAATATAATCGATTAACATTGATATAAATATGGGATATAAATCTGTAACCGTAATATATAATTTATAGAAATAATTTTTATTAATTTTAATATCATTTGTGTATAAATCAGGCCCGTTATAATAAAAGTTACTCCGGAGATCTCGAGTCTAGTCGAAGAATGACTTGGGAAGAAAATCTAATAACGATCTATAAACATAATATGATGGCAGCTGCAGGCCATCACAGTTATACATTGAAAGACAATCATATTGCCGATCTTGGAACTAGACAATACATTCGAGAAATGGTAATATATATATATATATATATAAATGATTAAAAAAATTTTAACATATATACAAGTCGATAATGATCGAATTAGTAAAATTTCATAAAATCGGATACACTCGATATTTTTATTCGATTCGAATCGTGAAAAATTATTATTCACCGTTTAGACAATTTTCTCTTTATTCGCAGGTGAAATTGATTCCAAGTCGGAAGCGACGTATATCGAAAGATACATTGGTTGGTGCGAGTTTATCCGATAACCAACGTATTCCACGGGAACTCGATTGGCGCGAGATTGGATTTAAGACACAGCCAGAGAATCAAAGGGATTGCGGAAGTTGTTACGCGTATTCCATAGCTGGCAGCATCGAGGGACAAATCTTCAAGAAGACGGGCATGTTGCTACCATTGAGCGAGCAACAATTAGTCGATTGCAGTACATCTACTGGTAATTTAGGATGTTCCGGAGGATCTTTGAGAAACACTTTGAGATATCTCGAAAAAGCAAAAGGTTTAATGGCTAAGACGTATTATCCATACAAGGCGAAAGTACGTATTTTCCTTCTTTTTTCTCTTTCTCTTTTTCTTATTTTTCTTTTATTTATATTATTTATATTATTTTCTTTTTTTTATTTTTTTTTATTTATATTATGTAATAAAAATATCGATAGACAATACTTAAGGCAATATATACGATGATGGATCTATTTAATGCGATTTAAGATTATATTCGTCAAATTATATATACGTAGATATCTACATAATCGAAGGAAAAATAATTAAATCTTTTATAATTGCATTTACATTTTTGGAAAAATAGCAAGGTCAGTGTCGTTTCAAGGAAGATTTGAGCGTAGTCAACATCACTTCATGGGCAGTGTTACCGGCACGCGACGAGAAAATTTTGGAAGCTGCGGTAGCTACCATAGGTCCAATAGCTGCTTCGATAAATGCTAGTCCAAAAACGTTTCAACTTTATCAGTGAGTATTTTTTTTTCTTCTCTCTTTTTTTTGCGAAACAAATGAATTTCCTTGCAAGAAAACAAACATTCCATTTGAAATCTCCTTACTAATTATATGTACGAATTATTGCATTTTTTATTTCATTTNTACTTTATAGTAAAATATATAAAACGAAAATTTAGAGAAAATTTTTCATTCCATTTGACAGACATTCCATTTGAAATCTCCTTACTAATTATATGTACGAATTATTGCATTTTTTATTTCATTTGACAGACATTCTATTTGAAATCTCCTTACTAATTATATGTAGGAATTATAGCACTTTATAGTAAAATATATAAAACGAAAATTTAGAGAGAAGAAGGAGAAGGTTGGGGAAAAAGTGAATGGGGTGAGAGATAGATGAGTAACGAGGTAAGAATAATAATAAACGAGGCAAGACGAAAGAAATGATGGAAGAAAAGGAACAAAGCACTTTTGACACGCAAATGATTCGTGACTTGGACGAGTGTTTACGCGAAAGTTAAGAATACGAAAACTCGTATCATCCCCCTCTGGTAGATATATTCGAAGAAATTGGTCCACTTGTACGATAACCTTTGGTGCATTGTTTACGCGACGATGAGCCTGAAACGGCAACGAACCGAAAGTCAGTGAACTTGCGTTTCGGAACTAAAAGGAAGTTTTACATTCGCGATCTTCGATATTTCGTCGCTTCGATCGCGCAGTATCAAAGAATCGGAAACATAAATCCGCAATTTTTCCTTCCCTTTCTCCATTCCTCTCCTCTTTTTCTCTCTCTCTATATTTTCTCTCTTTTTCTTCTTTCAATCATACGATCGATTTTGGTTCACAGCAAAGGAATCTACGATGACGAAGTTTGTAGTTCGGACATGGTGAATCACGCTATGTTGATCGTTGGATACACGCCAACCGAATGGATCTTGAAGAATTGGTGGGGCGATGGATGGGGAGAAAACGGATACATGCGTTTGGCAAAAAATAAAAATCGATGTGGAATTGCGAATTATGCGGCATACGCAAAAGTTTAACTCGATATGCATAAATTGGAGAGAAAAAAAAAAAAAAAAGAAAAAAAACGATCCATCCATGTTGATTTTCGATTTTTCCAATTTTCGATCTCGAGTCTCCTCAGCGTTTACATTGAAATTTATACAATTCGATTCAAACCCAATCGTGAAAAATATCCATCGAAACCGGTGAATCGACGGCATCAAACGCTACTTCGTATCTTATTTTTATTTTCCCATACACATTGCATATATACGTTCGATCGAATCAAAGAATTGAAAGATCATCTATTTCGAGTTAAAATGTGCGATATTTTTCACCTTTGGAAAAAAGGGGGATCACGATCATCGTTACATCGTTCGGGTCGATCTTTCTCGGAAGCGATAATTTAAGTTAACCTTGAATATTGCCACGGTACAATCATTTTCTGGCCGATAATTCCTACGATTACCTAACGAAACGCGTTCGGCTCAACAAAGTTTCGGCGAGGGGGTAAGGATTTATCGAAAAAAAAAAAGAAAAAAAGACGATAGACGCGCGCGCGCGANNNCGATCGAGGCAAATTACGCGGAAGAAATTTACTCGACGACGATTATTTTCATTCATCGAACCCGTGTGGTAATCTCTCTCGAATATATACGATGCGATTACGTACGATGCGATATATACGGTGTGTGAAAAAATACAGGGGAGGATAGATATATTTGTTATCCATCCCTTTCGTTCGTATCGTATTTCTTCCTTCCGAGCCGAAGAGTGGAAATTGGCCGCGAACGACGAGTTATGAGAATGTAGGTGAGAACGATGACAAAGGGGACGATGAAGCATGTTCGTGACGCGTGTTTCAACCAACGATATCAGCACGATTCGTCTCCATCCAATCGGCTGTATCCCCCGCTCATGGAGCAAAGTTCAAACTGTACCAAGAACCGATGCGTGACTGAAACCATTTCAGATGTATCTTTAGTCTTGGCGGATAAGGTGGTTGAGTGAAGAGGACGGCTGGATCGATCGAAAAGATAGAATCTAAAATCCGGGTCGCTCGTTTATCATTTATCAAAGTGGATCGAACATTTTCATCGAACAAACATATATAATAATAATAATAATAAATATATAAATATATATATATATATATATACATGTACATATCCCAAGGAATTTCGGGATAAATAAAGGAGTGAAAGAAAGGAGAAAGAGGGAAGAGAGGGTGAGGGATGGTGAAGGAAAGTAAGTCGGGAATGAGGGTAGAGAGGTAAGGGAGTAAGGTAAGGGAAGCGAAAGAAGAGAGAGAGAGAGAGAGAGAGAAAGGAAGGAAGGGAGAGTTGGTTAGAGAGAGATTGGTAAAATGTAAGGAGGCGAAGATACGAAGTTTGGAAGAAAAGTGGGATTCGAGTTGATGGAATTAATCGAACGATTTATGGAAGAGAGGAGTCGATGGGAAGCGAACGGACGTTGTACGATCGGTGAGATCCTTGGAAAGAAGGTCGAAGATAGAAATCGGTGAAAGAGAATACAATTCGATCGAGAAATCGAGAGAAGAGTGAAGTATCGATAAAAAAAAAAAAAAAAAAAAAAAAAAAAAAAAAAAAAAAAAAAAAAAGAAAAATATATAGGAACGATGCGTCTGGTTGAACGATTGTTGTTGTTGCTTTCCCTCCTGTTGATGGATAATCGAGTGAAAGTTATTTTACCGAAAGTCACCAACACCATCCCCGTAGTTCGGTGGAGTTCTTATTCGCGATCGAGCAGCTCGACTTCCTCGTCCTCGTTTTTATCCTCGTTGTCATCGTTCAAGGAGGAGGATTGCGCCGGATGCGCGCAAAACAAAGTTGGCCTGATCACCGTCACGGATCCAATTCTAACGGAGCTAAGAGTCGAATATGTCAAACAACAAATCCTCAAGAAGCTACGGCTTTCCAAACCGCCAGAGATATCGATGCCGCTCTCGACCTTGCCAAAGCCTCTGATAAATGGCCGTGTGCTCGAACTTCGACCCGGAGCGCCACTCGAACCGGAAAAATCAGTCGACAGTTTTTACGGAAAAACCGATCAGATTGTCGTCTTTCCAAACGAAGGTCAGTCCCTGTTAATTCCTTTAATTTCTATACTATATATTATATTCGCCCTTTCTCGCCAACATATATCTTCGTTCTACCAATTCTAGAACGAGAGCAAAGAAAAAAAAAAAAGAGGAGAAGAGAATTATTTATTTAATTAATCGTTCGATAAAATTCGTTTCGAATCTCTATATTTCTCCCTCCGTAATATATTTACATTTCATCGATAAATTTCAAGAGAACTCACAATTTATCGCCGTTTCAATTTTATTTCCCGTTATTGCGATCACACATTCTTTTACTCTTTTTTGACTCGATCGAACGAATTTTGGTGAAAAACGCGTCGTAAATTTCGTCGTTCTCTTACTTTCTTTTCTAACGTATCCTCTTAGTCCTATTATTTCGTAATAAAACGAAAAATATGTTTACGCAACAAAAAGTTTGAAAAAGGAAGGAGAACTATCGAAAGATATCGAAAATTATTCGATAATCACGAATGGTAACGATTTATTTAGGAGAAAAAGATAATAAACGGGGGATGATATAATTTCAGGTATTGCCGATTCGAAAAAGTGCCGGCAAAGATCGAACCATTTGACGGCGTGCTTCACGTTTTATCTACCGAACGAAATGCAATTTGTGGACGTGACCTCGGCGCAACTTTGGTTTTACAAGGAGTACGACGAGAACGACGACAGGAATCAAACTTTCGTACTCTCTGAACTCGATCATTGGGATTTGTATGGAAACTTTGAAAAAAACATGATCATGGCCATCTTCGAAACAGATATCAGAGGTGGGTCTGGGAAATCAAAGTTTCCCATTTAATTAAACACTTTTATTTTTCTCTTACGTTATCTCTTATATACACGGAAATTACCAATTTTTCCCCTGTTTTCGATCCAAAGATCGAGCTGAGCTTGCTTGGATTGATAATGGCGGAAATTGTGAAACGAAAAAAAGGGGGGGGGGGGAAAGAACGGGAACAGGATAAACGATGGATAAATCGATGGATAAACGGATAAGTGAAAGGAAGGAGGGGTAATGCGTAAAGATACAGGGGAAAAAGTTGGCAAGAGCAAAACTATGCAAAGATAAAACTTAACAAGGACTTTAGACCTTAGTGCTTCTCGCTAAAGACTTTAGACCGTGAAAGGGTATACGAAAAAAAAATGCAACGCTGTCACGATATAAGCATTTCGTGCTGCTTTACTAAAAGATCGCGTTACAGAATCCCACCGATATACGTTTATACGTCTGTCCAAATATCTATAAATAACATTTTTACATTTTCCTCAATTTTTCCAAGTCGCTTTAAACTTAGAGATTTAAATTGATCCACGTCTTCTCGATGATTGATGAAATTACGATGACAAAAAATCGCGATATTAAAAGAAAAGAGAAGGAGAAGAGAAATCGTCTTCGACGAAATCTCGTTCCTCGACAGGTGAATCGAGAGTCGCGTAGAGGAGACGATTAAAACGACCGTTGTCGATCATTTGTTTCAGAGGGATGGGTCAAGGCCGACGTAAGCTTCACCTTGAAGAAATGGGTGAAGGAGCTTCGGTTAAACCACGCGATACAGATAGCTTGCAGCACTTGCTCGATCGACCGAGATACAGCGCCTGTATCCATTCGACGAACTTTGAAACCTTTCCTCGTCATACACACATCCCCGTTACCGCAAAAAAACAGGCCGAAGAGAAACTCGAATTGCTTGCCGGAAATGAAGGAGTGCTGCAGGGACGAACTCTACATTAATTTCGAAGACATCGGTTGGAGCGATTGGATCCTCCATCCAAACGGATATCACGCTTACTTCTGCCGTGGATCTTGTTCTTCCGCAGCTTCGTTAACCATCAGTGGATCTCTCTACAATAATGTGATCAGAGTGAGTGATTTTTTTCTTTTTTTTTTTTTTTTTATTATTATTATCTTTCACTAGTAATCCTTATCGTTTAACGTAATTGTTCTCGAAAACAATTATCGTATTATCGTGTTAGTTAAGTTTTAATTATGGCAATTATTCTTGTTTCAGAAGTTATTGAGCAAAAATGGGAATACGATACATCGAAAGAACGAGATAGTTCCATGCTGTTCACCTACGCAATTATCGCCGATTCAATTGCTCTACGTTGATTCGAACAATACGATTACGCAGAAAACGTTGCCGAACATGGTAGTCGAAGCGTGCGGTTGTATGTGATTTCGATCGAAAAATCGAATCAATTCTTTACGATAATGCATGATGCAATCCTCCAGCTTCTTTCAATTTTCAAACTTCGTTGTACGTATGTACCTGCCTCGTTCGTTACGAGTAGACATGCGCGTGTGTACAAAATTCTCCAATGTTGAATATGAGAATAGTACGTAAGTTTGCGACTTGTGGAATTAAGAAAATAACTAAGAAAACGTTATATTTAAATCGACGAAAAATCGTCTTCCAGAAAGGTCAGAAATTATTGTGCGAAAATAGAGCCGAGAATGTGTACGTGCATAAATTGATCTTGGCTTTGATAACGAACGAATTGTCGTGTTATATTATATATACGTATATATATATATATATATATATATATATATATATATATATAT